TTCTGGTTGGGGGATTTGCAGAGTCCGTGTTACTCCAGGACGCCATTAAAAAGCAATTTAGCAGTCAGTTCACCATCCTTGTCCCTAGCAATGCCGGGATTGCGGTTGTTCAGGGAGCGGTAATGTTTGGTCAAAGACCTGGCGTCATTGCTTCCCGGCAAATGTCCACTACTTATGGTATCGAGGTTTACCGTCTGTTTGATGCCAGTATTCATCCCATCGACAAAAAGGAAGACGTGGAAGGAGTCAGTTGCTGTAAGGACTGCCTTGATGTTCTCGTCAAGGAGGGTGAAGTCGTTCAAGTTGAAGAAAAGAGGCATTTCACCTACGCACCCACAACAAGCAACCAAAACGAGATTGAGGTAAAATTTTACACCTCTAAAGTCCCGGATGCAAAGTTCGTAACAGACCCAGGAGTTGGTCCGTCTATAGGGAAGATAACAGTTTCTTCACCCGACATCTCAAGGGGAAAGGATCGGAAAATCAGCGTTTGCTTGTATTTTGGAGGTACAGAGATCAAGGTCACTGTAATTGATGTTGCGAGCGAGAACACTGAAACGGCTCACCTAGATTTTTTGTACAAACATGATTAAAAACATGAGCGTGAACAAATAGGTTCTGAAGCTAAGGAACATTTGATTTCCTGGTCGCTTGGCAGAGTCAATAGTTTCACTATATAGTGCAGCTATTTTGCATGTATCGCAGTTCATATAATAACTTCAATTTTCTTGAAATAACTGCTAGATACCGGCCCAATACGTTCTATCAATTGTTAAAGTTCTTTAAAATATAATAACAGGCATTGCGCGATGACATCAGTTAGAGCTGTTGGAATAAATAAAACGCTTGTTGTAATAAGGGCAAAGAGCAGCATTTGAAGTTAGCAATTCCCTTATAATTATCCTACTACATGTAATCCATTTTTGGGAGTGTTAATTTATGCCGAAGAGCATGAAATTTTGGGCCAGTAATAACTGAATGATCTTTTGAAGTATATATGAAATAATTCATATTGAATGATCTTTGTTATCAATTGTTGCTTCTGTTCCTGATCTTATCGGCTAGAGCATAAATTTAATTTACACTACACTAAATTACCCAGATAATTAACACTTTTAAAAGCTGTGAAATCGCGGGACATACTCAGCAGACGAAGTCGCAGCACTAGGTGGCCAACATCAGACGATATTAGGTCTTAAAAATTGAGCAATAGGCCACATTCGTAATCTCTTTTGAACTGGAACTAGCTTGCAACTGAGGCTAACGCGGGAAGTCTTTTCAAATTCAAATGATATGAAAGAATTGATCATGCTTAGCGAGCGTATATCGAGTTATGGTTGCATGTGGGAAGTTTGGAGAGCACGAAAGAAAAGGTGCTCGAGGCGATAGCCGAGAGTAATGCTAGCTTCTTGAGTGCTCTCCAAACTTTCCAAGTGCATCCATAACTCGATATACGCACAGCTAAAAGCATGAACCAATTATTTTATAACATGGCCACAACAAACTCGGGTGCTAAAACATGTCTTATTTGTGATCAACTACAAAGTTCTCACAATACACGGTGAAGGAAAACAAGGTCATTAGGATCCTAACACGCCACAATAAGTTGAGCAACGGTTGAACGAAAACGCGTCACCTGGTTTCTAAAACTGTCAACGAAAAATTCGCTTCTTCGAATTAATTACAATGAAAATGTAGGCAAACAAAGTCAAAAATACGCAATGAAAATGTAGACAAACAAAGTCAAAATACTCAGGTTCAAGTATACATCTTACATGTAGCTTGCCGAATGTCAAAGGCTCGAAGTAGAGTTTGGATTGTTCAGAATAATCGTCACTTTGCCGAAACTTAAACAAAAGGAACTTGCACTATAAACTCGACGGAAAGTTTGCAGCTAAAATTGAAACTGCACACGTTATCTTATACACGCCCGGCCGTGCGTACCTAGAGATTTCGTTCATGATTGCTTAATAAGAATTAGATACGACTGGCGAGCGCGCTATTTATATAATAATCTCTGTTTAATCTATTTCCCCGCGTAAGCCTCCATACGGATATGACCCATTGTTTTAAATTTATTTCAATTAATTCTCATCGATAGGCATTTTTAGAGCCGGATGATAGGCGGTTACAAAATGTTTTGCAAGAGTTTTACGAGACTGGGCAAGCTATTTATAGCGGAGCTCCCGCGCGCCGAAGGCGCGCGAGCAGAGCCCCAT